TGTTGGAGGAAAAAATTGGGTTATTGAGGTTAGAAAATCATTGCATTAGGGTTTATTTTGCAAAATTTCTTTAATTTTTCTAGAAAAGGGTTTGTTATTAGATTGCTTAGCTGCGGTGACCATCTTGTATGAGGTTGGCTTTCAAAGTCAACCAGTTGTGCAGGTAGCTGTTTATTTTAAAAATCTGATTAAAGTGCATCCAGGGTTTCGAGAGACATTTTCCTAACAAACTGCTTGATAAATCCATCCATCCATTATCTTTTACCCGCTTCGTCCATTTTTGGGTCACGGGGGTCGCCTGTGCCCATATCCAGCAATCACTGTGTGAGGGACGGGGTACACCCTGTACAGGTCTCCAGTTCATCACAGGGCCACAGAGACAAACGAGACAAACAATCATTCACTCTCTCACTCACACCTAGGGACAATTTAGAATTACCAATCAGCCTAACATGCATGTTTTTGGTCTGTGGGAGGAAACCGGAGTACCCGGAGAAAACCCACACATGCACGGAGAGAACATGCAAACTCCACCCAGAAAGGCCCCTGGACTGGGATTTGAACCAGGGACCTGCTCACTGAGAGGCAGCAGCTCTACCAGTTGTGCCACCGTGCTGCCCTGCTTGATAAATCCAACAAAATTAAGTCAGCTCCTCTGGATGATTTCTTTATGATGAAACGTTTCGTCTTTCACCCAAAACACTTCATCAGTCGGAGGAGTTGCAACAAACCCAGTCTTATAAATAGCACCTTCACACAGTGGGTCAACCAGTTTGATGGTGCTCAGGTGGTGTCTGGAGTCCACCTTCTTCCCCTCCAACTCGTTTGAGGCAGTCATGGCCAAAGTGGTTCAAAATATCCTGATTCCAGTGGTGTAGTTTATATTTTTGTAGTCGTTATACCGCAGTGAAGTTAGTTTAATGTTGGATGTTGGACACCGCTGAAGCCACGGAGTGCGAATGTCCAATGTAAAACTAATTTTACCGTGGTTGGTCCATATACTGTGCTTAGAGACCAAAGTACACTGGTTAGTACAATGTAATCGTCCATTTACTTTTAAGCATATTGAACATTTCCAATTTTCTCTGATGCTTATATTTGAATAAATGAACACAAAACTTTGTATAACATTTGGCTTTGTATTAAAAACATGTTATATAATTTATAAAACAGTATCAAAGCAAAAAATGTTCAAGTATTAAGTAGTAAGTACAGAAGTATTGATTATACAATAATTCGCTGGATAAGCGAATGTAATAAACAAGCGTTGCATACCGATAGATTGTTACGGAAGAATTTAACGTATCAATGACGCGTGTCTAATGATATGTCATGTATCATTGGGCACTTTTAAGTGAGTATACTGAAATTCTTAAGCTTTTCTAGTGGGTATACTCCATGCGCATCATGTAGACTACACCACTGCCTGATTCATGCTCAATAATCCGTGTTTTGGATGAAAGATGAAACGTTTCAACAAAAAGAATATGTATAAAAAACCTGACTTAACCTTGTTGTGTTTTTCTACCTGGATTATTGAGCATGAATCAGGAACGGCTTGATAAATGTCAGCAGCCACCATGAGGACAGAGCAGAGGCGCTGCAGCTCTCGGCCAGCAGGTGTCGCCACTGAGCCATCCTCAGGACGCAGTTTGGCACCGAGTCTCCTCCACGTTGTGCCCCCTCGGTCCCACCCACCTTGCCTCACTCTCTCGCAGCCTTCCAGCAGCATCAGTCTCCTCAGCATGGCTGCCTGTGCTCACCTCTACCTCCTCCTGTTAGCCGCCACCCCGGCCCGGATCCCCGCGGGACCCGCGCGCTGTGACAGCCGGGCTTTGAGCCGGCGCGGCGGCCAGGACGGCTCGTTTGACACGGACGGCGGTGGACAGGGAAGAGGCTCCCTCCCGCCGGGCTCGCACGCGGATGATGATGGATCTGTCGGTCCGGGTAGACCCCCCCGCTTCAGGAGAGCCACGTCCTGGGATAAACAGATGTCCCTGCTCAGCAGCTCGTTCGTGCTCAAAGGGGATGCGACCCACAACCAGGCGATGGTGCACTGGACAGGAGAAAACAGCAGCGTGAGTAACCCCCCCATCTCCTGTCCCATCACAATCCGCTGACTCTGACCGTCTTTGTTCCCTCCCACCATCACCTGAAGCAAGTTATTGTTCTGATTGTTGGGACACACCTCCACCACCACATGCGCACAGACACGGGGGTCCAGGGTCACGGCCAGGTTCTGGTGGGGGTGTGGACATGAACATCAGCTCTGCTCATTCTGTTTCATTACTGAGGAACTTCAGAGCTGATCTGATATCAGCTGAAAGTTCCATGTCAAATATAACATGTAGAAATCATGTCTCTGATGTATAACTTCTATAAATCAGTGGGAGTTCAAGACGCATCCACAATTTGTTTGAGTTGATTTTTACAACTCCTGTTTTTAAACTAAGACACGTGAGCTTGGTGGTGTCTGAAAATTGTTTTAACGCTCTTTCAGTTGAAGGAATTTTATTTTTTGAGATTAAGCTCTTTTAGACAGTTTGGTTAGTATACCAACTAAACAGCCTTAAATGGTGAAATGTGTAATAAAGCTGTAAATTGATCATTATGAAGTTTTCCACCAAAGTTTCAAGACAAGTTGGCTCATAATTCATAACTTATGTTGGGTTCGGAGCATGGTGTCTGCTATAATAGAAACAGAGAAGTAGTGTTCTGAATCCACCTCAGTCCTAACTTTAAGGAATTTATTTTATTTAAGTTTATTTGATAGGGACTGAGCCACAATAACATCCATGCCTGTATCATGGTGCTCTGTCTCTAGATGGGCTTTTATACACAGGATATCTAAAATACTATTAAGAAGTGGAATGGCAATCAAAGGATAAAATATATATCTGAGTTGTGGGTGAAACATGGATCAAGTGAAAGTTGCTTTAAACAGAAGCACTCTTTGTGGATGGATATATTGACGGGGGTGCGGTGGGGGGCATTGAGTGGTGGTGTCTGGTCGGGACATCACTCCCAGTTAAAGCTGTTTTGTCTCTAATCGTATTATAATGCAGTTTGAGGGAGTGCAAGCGCCTCTGGCACTGCAGGAAGCAAACCAGTGTGCACAGATTTAACGATTTGTTGGGTTTTCATGATCAACTGGTCGGTAAATAATCTGACACGCATAGATGTCATGTTAAAGGATTATAGGCAGACGCTAAAAAGAAAAGGAAAGCTGCTATGGGGCGCTCCGCGAGAGGAATCCAAACCAACGGAGAAGCCCAAGCAGCTGAACGTCAGCAGCTGGAGGGTTTTGAAAATGAGCTGAGGTGAGAAACTGAGCTGAATGCAAATTAGTGTTGAAGGAGGTGAGGTTTGAGTTTTACTCACTCAGAGCTCAGAGTATAAGGATGCTGCATCTAAATATTAAGTAGTCTGCATTTACAGTAACGCTTTTAGCCACCCAGTAACTCTGATAAGACGTCTGGTGCCAAGAGGGGTTTAGTGTTTCACCCAAGAACACTTTAACACTTTGAGGGGCTGGGAATAAAATTGCTAACCTTTGATTTAGAGGAGGGCAGCACGGTGGCGCAACTGGTAGAGCTGCTGCCTCTCAGCAAACAGGTCCCTGGTTCAAACCCCGGTCCAGGGGCCTTCTGGGTGGAGTTTGCATGTTCTCTCCGTGCATGCGTGGGTTTTCTCCGGGTACTCCGGTTTCCTCCCACAGACCAAAAACATGCATGTTTGACTGATTGGTAACTCTAAATTGTCCCTAGGTGTGAGTGAGAGAGTGAATGTTTGTTTGTCTTGTTTGTCTCTATGTGGCCCTGTGATGGACTTGCGACCCGTCCAGGGTGTACCCCCGCCCCTCGCACAGTGATTGCTGGACATGGGCACCAGCGACCCCCGTGACCCAAAATGGAATAAGCGGGTAAAGAAAATGGATGGATGGATGATTTAGAGGACGATCTCTCCAAGCTATGATGAGTCTTTGGCTATGAGTGGGTATAAGTAAAACATTTTGGGTGCATATAAATATTCTTGAGCGTTGAGTTTACGAAGTTTCTTTCCAGTCATTTCTATGCATTTTCTTCAAAGAGCCAGACTTCCTTGCAGTCTTTTAAAAGTGGTCCTAAGTAATTCTGCACACCACCTGAACACTGGCTGACAACATTAACTGTGCATCTGGTGATTTCAAGTTCAAGTCCAGGTTCAAGTTCAAGTCAGCTTTATTGTTGTTTCCATTAGGGATGCACGATATTATCGGCATAGTATCGGTATCAGCCGATATTAGCGATAAAGTTAAATATCGGACATCGGCCAATCCATCAAAAATAATTTACAGATTTAAAAGGTGCTGTTTTTTAATATTATATATTTATATAGAGTTACATCATTTTCAGCCCCTTTTTTGGCATCTGTATTTGGTAGCAGGCCAAATTGATAAAGACCATACAGAGTAATGTAGTATTTTAACCAAACAGCAGAGAAAGCTATGTAGTCTCTGTAAGTAGGTTTAGGGCGAAAAATATTGGTATTGTTATCGCTTATTGGCCAAATAAGTTTTAACATATCGGATATCGGCTAAAAATCCAATATCGTGCATCCCTAGTTTCCATCACATGTGGTAGAACGAAATTATGTACACAGGGTCCAAGTTACTCCCAAAAAATAGCAAAATATTAAGTATAAAAAGAATAGTAAATAAGGATTTAAGATATACGCTAAACAAATTCAATTCAATTCAAAATTCAATTCAAAAATACTTTATTAATCCCAAAAGGAAATTATTTGTTGTTGTAACTCATTATCCTCATTTCATTAAGAGATGTTATAGATGCTGATGGCTGTAAACAGGAAGGATCTCTTGTAAAGGTCCATCCCACAGTGGATCCTAAGAAACTGGCTGCAGATGCCGTCCGATCCGTCCACCCAGACTCGGCTGGCCTCTCGGTTCCCCCGGGCTGTAGGACCGCCTGAATGCCGGGCAGAACTCCTCCCAGAGCGATGGCCACTCCTCCCAGCAGTCTGCCAATCTCCTCGTCACTGTGGACATCCAACTGTAGGTGCCGAGGGACGATCCTGTCCTTCCGCTGTCACGAGCCGTGTTTCCTGCTAGTTCCAGGATCTCAGTGGTCAGGCACTCAAGCACAGCTGGCAGGTAGATGAGAATGCATCTACAGAACATCCTTTTCAACTCACTTGAGATTTGGGGCTGTAGTTGAGATATTATTTGAGCTTTTGAGATGTTAATCAGCTGCTGTTGGTTGTAGAAAACTGCCTTGTTGCCATGGTTACACATCATAACAAATGTCCAAAACAAAAAAAGTCTCAGTAAAAATCCTTCCAGCTGCACAGCATCTGATACCAGAGGAAACAATCATCCAAAAAAAGTGATTTACATCCAGAAAAAGAGGAATTAAAGTTTCCAAAAGCAAAATCTCAGAATGAAAGTAACAGAGCTGCTCCAACATGCAGCCACCTTGAGCGGCACAATTCTAGAACCACAAATACCAGACGGTACGCCAAAAGATCTAAGCTATACGCTAAACACTAATAATGTAAAACAATACGACATAACAACAGCAGCCTGAACCTGAGTCTACGGTGAGCTGATGGGTATAAATACAGCAGCATGAGATAATCAGCAGCATGAGATCAGCAGCATGGGTAATCAGCAACACAGCTTCGTCACATATCACCAATTAAAGTGGCATTACAGTGATTTTTCTTTTCTTTTTTCACAGTGATTATCCTGTTTAAGAATTTATGAGTCTTAACAGCTTCAGGGTAGATGCTGTTCCTCAGTCTAGTGGTTCTAAGCCATGGTTCTACACTTTAAACCACTAGTCAATTAATTATTATTGTTTTTTTTTTACCAAAACATATTAGTGTTTCCTCTAGGTTTATGGCCTTGGGAAGATTCATCTCAATAACAGCTTTAATAGTTTTATTAGTTGGATTTTACAAAGTCTGCAACTTTGATTGATTGCACTGATTGTGTCAAATTAGTTTGTCTACCGGTAGTTGCCTGTATTGTTACTGTTTTTAATATTCAAGTACTTCAAAGACAAGAAAGTCTATAAATCAGTATAGTCAAACATAATAACCCTCATAGTGTGGAGTTCATGAGTCAAAATGTAATTACAGTAATAAAGCTCTTTAAAATTGACACTGAAAGGGTGTTTTTGCCTTTATATAACTGTTATATTAATAAGGATGTATTAAAAAAATTATAGCACAGGTAGACCTTTGCACAGTATAAAACAACTTAAATATTGCCATTTAAATTTGCATGACTCCTAGATTTCTGAGTTAAAATTACTTTATTTTACTCAGATTTGAATGTGAAAGATTTCAGCTCATTTAGTAATTTAATGCAATATATTTTTCATATGCTGGACATGGGCACCGGCGACCCCCGTGACCCAAAATGGAAGAAGCGGGTAAAAGATAATGGATGGATATTTTTCATTTTAGATCATTTATTGAATTACGTGGATTACAGTACAGTTACCTTATAGTATGGTTAAAAAACACAAGCTTAACACATACAGATAACAAATCCTTGTTTATTAGCTATCCTAAGAAAGCACGCAATACTTAAGAAAAGCTACAAACACAAGAAACTGATGCTCAGAGAGAGACCATTGTGAGTTAATAAAAAAGGTAAACAGAAACATAACTTTGCATTAATCCTAGGCTTCCAAATAAAAGTCTTTTAGTGTTAGTATAGTTTAATTGCAAGAACTAAAGTTGCAGAAAACAATGAGTTTACCTGAGAGTGTTTCAAACAGGCTGCACGCACCCATCAGGAGTTTAGTCACATGTGCAAGTCGGATGTGTCTGTATGCCAATGACGTTAGTCTTGAAAGCATTAATGTTTAATACAAAGTTAAATTTGACATACATAAGTCCTGGGGGGTCAGGGAGAGGTGTAGGAGGAGGGGTGATGATGGAGGGGAAAAGGGGCATTTGGTGTCTCCCCATCTACACAGAATTGGTTTTGTGTGAACATGTATGGATATTTCATAATTTGTTTACATACCATGATTTTTATAGCAGGGTGGGTGGTTCTGTAGGGAGG